GATGGTGTATTAGCTCCAGAACAACAGCATAAGCCCCATTTTCACTACCCCTCTGAAAACCGATCGCTGCCGAGTTTGGACCGAGCTTGGATCAGTTAACCGTGCAGAGCTTGGTTCCTTATGTCCGTTTACACATCCCGCTAGCACGGCTCCATGCCTCACGGTGACGCTCTACGATACTGCTGCTAGGAGTGAAGGAGGGAATCAAGCAAATCACAATTGCAGATGTCCGCAACATTTGGGAAGTTATGTTTGGTTATAATTGTGATATTTCCTTGTTTGCTGAGAGTCAGAGGAAGAGGGCAGCAAGAGACGGCTTTACGAAAGTGGTTACGACAAACGATAGTCTAATCATGGCTTACAGATGTAGGAAACAACGACAGACTTTGAGGTTCATCACACTGCAAAGCAGAATCATCACTGGAAATTGTACGGCATTGTCGGGAAGGTAGTATTTTTAGGAATGTCCGAATTTTCATGAGTACAGAGGCTGTCTATTAGTGGATGACACGGTCAGCTAATGTACCCTTTGTTACCTGAGAACTCAGCCTGAACTGAACTGTCCTACTGTTGAACTAGTACTAGTTTGGTGCTGTTCAGTTGTGTCTGACATGGTCCGATTCAGATTGCATGCCATTTACACTCAACAGTTTTCTCGGTTACCGTGCTCTTTCCACTCTCGGCACAGTTTCAAAAAGGTAGAGTAAATGGGGCAAAAAACTGTGCTTGTTTGCTTACTTAGGTGGGCTAATATGAGTGGTTATATATTGTGTATATATATATGTATGTATGTATATACAGTATGTATGTGTATATATATCTATATATATATAGATATATATCTATATATATATAGATATATATATAAATAACAAGGCAAAATCCTTCATCTTTACCGTCGACAGGCTGCAGCCACGTCCCGAATTCCTAATTTTCCAGCTTCTTTTCCGAACATCCAGCTTTACAATCAATTGGAAGCAGTTCCACGCCTGATATATCTGATGAAATTGTTTTTATAAACATTTTTTTAAATGCCACAGATAATCCTATTTAATGAATTTTAATGCGTTAATTTAAAAAGTAATTATTTAATTGCTTTTAATGATTTTTAATGACCCGCGGAAAGGGAAGGAGGTAAGGCAAGGCAAGGCAAATTTATTTGTATAGCGCAATTCAGTACAAATACAATGCAAAGTGCTTTACATGATTAAAATATGCGAAAATAAACCTGAATCAAAGCAAGTAGGAAAAAAAATAAATAAAAAACACAGAAACAAAAAAAACAACTAAAGGATTAAAGAAAATAAAAAACTTGAACTAATGATGTTTCAGTTGAACTGTTTAACTAGAACAGTTGAAGGCAATCCTAAACAAATGTGTTTTTAGTCCTGATTTAAAGGAACTCAGGCTTTCCGGACTTTTACAGTGTTCTGGAAGGTTGTTCCAGATAAGTGGAGCATAGGAACTAAATGCCGCTTCTCCATGTTTAGTTCTGGTTCTAGGTATGCAGAGCAGGCTGGAGCCAGAAGACCTGAGTGGTCTGGAGGGTCGATACACTCATAGCAAATCTGTGATGTATTTAGGTGCAGATTACGACAAGGAGGGGCCCCAGGACAGAGCCCTGGGATACACCTGAGGTGACGAGGGAGGGGGTGGATTTGAGGGTCTTCAGTTGAATGAACTGAGTATGGCCAGAGAAGTAGGAGGTAAACCTGCCCACCGGAGTGTTAGTGATGTCACTTGAGGAAAGCCTGCTGAGGAGGGTGGTTCGTCAGATGGTCTTAAAAGCTGTACTAAGGTCGAGAAGGAAGAGGATGGTGAGTAATTCAGTGTCAAATGCCATTAAGGAGGTCATTAGTGATTTTGATGAGAGCTGTTTCAGTGCTATGGAGTGGCAGCAAACCAGACTGGAACTCTTCATACAGGCTGTTGGCAGATAGGTAAGAATGAATGGGGTCGGCACAAGGTTTTTTTTCGCAATTGGGGTGATGTCAGCGGTTTTGAGAGGTGTAGGGACAGTTCCAGTGGTGAAGGAGGTGCGAATAATAGCGGAAACTAATACAGAAACATTTCATAAGATAAAACTCCTGACAATCTGCTGTCCCTGCTGACTCAGTTTGACTCATTTTATGCAGCACGGTCGAGAACAAGCAAATATCTGCTGTAAAGACTGTATGAATATACTCAAAAGGAAAATATGTTAACACAGCGCTTTTATAGCATGCTGTAAACCAGCATGCTGAAGTAACAGAAACTATCACTTCACAGCACATCAACTCAAGGCACTTTACAAAGGAAATTAAATCATATTATACAGACTTCGTAGAAACTTAAAATTTATAAATATTAGGGCTGCAACAACGAATCGATAAAATCGATAAAAATCGACTTTTAAAAGCGTTGGCAACGAATTTCATCATCGATTAGTTGTGTCGCGCGATTATTGCGTCATCCGCCGCGCCGTCATCACTGCCTCTTGACTGAAAGAGGAAGAAAAAAAATATGGCAGAGCGAGTCAGCACCGCAGGTGCTGTGTTGCCAACTCAGCGACTTTTCAGACCCCTCCAGCGACTATTTTTCAAAAAAGCGACTAGCGACAAATCTGGCGACTTTTTTCGGTTTCACTGGCGGCTTTTGGAGACTCTTACGTGAAAGCATGTATCGTTCCTACTCTGCCGTGGGGCGCCTCCCCCCCGCTCCCGCAGGAGTCCCTCTCAGTGCTGCAGTCAGAGCCTCAGCGTCCAGACTGCAAATGAAGCGCGCATGCACCGGGATTGACGGCGCAAATTGATCACAATAATTAAAATAGCCTGCGCTTTGTAAAGCGAAAAAAGTGATAACATGCAACTTTTTTCAAAAGAAATTAACATGGCACGGAACCACCATGTTTGTTTGGTTTTAAAGTGGGGAAACGTTACGTTAGTTTCTCAGGTAGCTCATCTGATGCTTTCCTTACCGTGTTAGTAGGTTACAGACAGTGATAAGGTTGGCTACTTATTTTACTTTTAATTTCATTTGAATTAGCTTAAGCAGCGTTTACATTTACTTTATAAATAAATTAACTTGCAAATTATGAGGGCAAGGCTTTTAAAGTTTAAATCTTCTGGCGAAGATAAAGTAAAGAAAATCCTGCAATTTATGGAAGTAAAGCAGAATAAAATCCAGCAAGATCAGTAATATGTCAATTAATTATATGCCACATTCCCATGTAAATTGGAGTCTTTGGAGGATGTGTTTTTTAGCACCCCTAGTTCTCTCATTTTTATTCCAAATACAATTTATAATTTGAATCACAGGGCTATTTTTATCTCTATGGTTCAGTATTTTCCCAAGTAGCAACTTTAACTGCTATACTTTCCTGTCTTAAAAGGCAGAACTCTTCTAGTCTAAAAAAACTTATTTGTTGAAATGGGGGGCCTATTGTTTGAACCCCTTAGGGGCTTTAAAAACAGAAATGTCTTTTTTTGCACTTTATGAAACAAAGTACCCTATATTTTGTGGATGTACAGCTACATTTCTCATGTAAGTTTGCGTAGTTTTAACACAAACATTTATTTTTCATATTGCACCAGTACAGTTAATGAGCAACCTGTACTTGTGTGCTTGTTTGTTCTGTCTAAATGTTTATTTTGGAATAAAGAGGTTAATATAAAAAATATTTTTTGTCCGATTCATCGACTAATCGAAAAAATAATCGTCCGATTCATCGATTTTTAAAATAATCGTTAGTTGCAGCCCTAATAAATATTAAAACAATTTTTATGAAATTTACTCACTCATAAAAGCAAATAGGTTTGCTTTTACGATTATTGCATTTGCAAATAAATAAATAAAGCATTCCTATGCAAATTTGTTCAGGTCTCGTTAACTTGTTTTAATAGGTGGGCCAAAAACAATCAGGATTTGGATCATCTGTGCAAAACACATATTTCCACACATTTATTTCACCCCCTTTGGCTTGCAGCAAATCACAAATCGAATTTCTGGTGGCAATCTTTCACCAATGCTTTACGAAAATGTGGATCTGGGGAGCTTAAGTAAAATACACCAAAGTTTTAGTTAATAAGATGTCTGATCAAGGGTTATTTTTGTAGTGAACTATGAATCTTGGCCTTCACAGTTGGTATAAATGAGCAATCACTAAATAAGTGCAAATGATGACATGCAAAAAAACAGCTTATAGTTATGCTTATGTAATTATAAATGAGAGCTGTGTGCCAGCTGTATAATGAACTATAGGTCACAGAGGATGAGGGGGAGTTGTGTTAACACAATCCCCTCATTGTTGGCTTCTCCCTTACAGATGAGTCATCTTGTACTCACTCATAAGAGAGAAACTTATTGACAGTTAAGTTCAGAGAAAAAAACTTAATATAGGAAAACATTTCTACCTTTTTGAGGCGGCTCTGCATCATATTGCGGAAGACTTGAGCCACCATCAGGGCGATCCCACTGACCAGCAGGAGGGCGCAGATCGCTCCAACTGCGTAAATTGCGCAGGATCTTCGCGTCATGGTTGCAGATGGAAGCAAAACTGAACTCTGGAAGGATGGATGGAGATATTCTTTTTTCCTCTTATACACACACACACACACACACACACATTTGAGACTATATCTCAAACTGGCGTTGATTTCCACAGTGATTTTAATTCACTTTGCACTGAAAAGTTGAGCAAAAGTTTCGAAAACGGCGCGCGACAAATGCCGGAGCACGAGGTTCCCCGCCACACGGGGAAGTCCTGCTGCGAGTAATGAAACCACGCGACTTCTGCTCCGCGTCAGTCTGAAACACATGAACTCAAAAGTGAAGCAGAGAGTATTTGTAGCGGGCCAGAACATCTCCCTCCTCCAAGCGAGGAGCCACTGTGATTGGTGGAACAAGTGGGAGAGCAGTGGGCTGAGGACGCTCCTCTCTCAACGCAACCTATAATAACCTTAAACTCAAACTGTAACAATAAACCCCCCCTCTGCTCAGTCTCTAACTTCCCTCTACTCTATGTTCAGCTGGGAGGATCAGGTCATCAGACGCAATAGATATATTAGACATAATGCAGTGAGTAAAGTTGACAAATCTACATGTTTTCATGGGTGGTTCTAGATGGGGGCCAAAAGGGTGCCAGTACCCCTGTAGGACCGGTCCTGGCCCCTTTTATGCCCCCCTGTTCTGAAAACATTTATTGCAAAATTTAAAAAATAAGTCAGGTTTTCTTGAAATAAGTGTAACCTTGATTTGGGCAGGTAGGTAAAACAATTTGCAGATGGAATATGATCATTTATGCTTAAAATAAGAAAAAAAACAGCTCTATTATCTAATTCAAAGTACATAGTATTTAATTATTGTGTTTTAATGGTCAAACTGTCACTTCCTTTGGAAGATCATCTTAGTTACTGTTAGGAATCCAGTTTTTATGGATTGTTTTTGTGTTTTCTTTTTCCACCACTAGATGGTTCCCTGTGTTTGTTTGGGCCTCCTCGCACACCTGCGGCTCGTTGGGTCATCATCAGATGAATATATGAACAGGGGGCTGTTACTATCTCAACGCCAGAGTGTTTGCCAGTATTGGGTACTCTAGCCAAACTGAGATTAGCTGAGTCTAACCTTTAGCCTTGTCTTTCTGAATCTAAGCTTGCTTTGTCTTTGTTCTCCGGCAGGAAGCCTTCCTGATCCACTGGATAAGCCTACCTTCTACCCCCCTGGAAGGATAAACTGAGTCACAATTGAGCAAGGGGAAAACTCCACATAATCAAGTCTTTTTCAGGAAAATCCGGTGACAGTCCGCTCCTTTGCTCCTCTGGACCCAACGTTAGTCTGCCTGGACGCCCTCCCACGAGTTCTTTCATCTCTGGATAAGACCCCACAAACTGGATCCAAAGATTAACCAAGAGTTCCCCAAACGTGAGTGCCTCTCCTGCAAATTACAAGCCTCAGTCATTTTTTCTACGGTCCCTGAACTGATCATTGTGATCTCCCCTTCAGAGTTTCCGGTTCCGGTTCACCAGGCCGCTGAGGTCCAACAATGTTACCCAGCTGTATATCTCTCAGTCTGTGTTTTTTTGTAAACCACAATAAACCTGTTAACTTTTTCCCTTAGCTTCTGAGTGTGTTTCTGCATGTGGGTCAGATCAAATTACCGGTAAATCTACAGATTTTTATAAATTTTTACTTGATTTAGATCAGTTTTTACAGTGAAATATTATGTTTTCTAGAATGTTATACACAGACTGTAAATGATACATCACTTGGACCAAATAAATATTTTGTCATTTCAATTTGCATAAACAAATATTTAGAAATCACAGTCAGCTTTAAGCTTGTGTTATACTAAGACAGGATCACAGTTTTCATGTTAGATCAGGAGTCTTCAGCATTGGTTTTGTGGCTCTTTTAATATACTACACAATGCACTCTTGCTCCGCTATAAATTTGTTTTGCATCTCAGATCTGAGGGGAGAGGTTACATGTAAACAGATCTTACTTCATAGATACAGTTACAAATGGAGTCAGCCCTCATTTTTTATAAATCAAACAGTATTTTCTCTAAAAATGTCTAGTGTGTTTTAGATAATGCAATACTAGTTCACTCATGTTGAACCTGATCAGATAGTTGTTTATGTGGGTACAGCCTTTTTTAATACATCCCAAAAACAAGCACTGGAAATATGTTGCCTTGTACACAGCATACCCTACTTTTCACTTATATGGTTTAGGAAAAACTGACTTGTTTATTTAATAAGGCAAATCCTATATCTAAACTAAAATAAATCTTGATCTAAAGCTATCCTACTCTAAAGCAATCTAAAGCTGTACTTTTTACTCTTGCAGTCTTTGCATCGAGGTTAAACAAAAGTCATCTATTGAAGACTTCCTCAAAAAAGTGTTAGAATATATTAATATGTAAAAGTTCACACTCAAAGGGTGGGAAGATAAAGCAGTGCCATTACATTTAGGCTTTTCTTTTTATGTAAAAAAGTGTATGCTCCTAAAAAAGCAGACTTTTATTTTGATATAAGAGGTGTAAATCTGTTTTCTAATGGTTAAATCTCCTTTTTTCATTGTTTACTAAGTTCATGTGGTTTCCTAAACCTGACTTATTTCACCATCTGAGTTAGAAATGCACCCCTCCTCGAACCACCACCTGGGCTGAGGTTGTGGTGGAACGATAGCAGTCAGAAATAGTTGTGCTCCCCCCCACACATATCGTGGGTTCTGAAACCAAGCTCCTTGAGAGAGGCTGGACTCTTTTCTACTCTGGGAGGGACTGCTTGTCTCCCCCAGCTCAGCGTCTCATGTTTGAATTTACCCCGGTGGGCGAAAGGGTCGCTTCCCTTCGCCTTTTGGTAGGGATGTCTCTGTTGTTTCGGCCTATGGGTCGAACGGCAGTACCAGGCCATCTTAGTATCCGTGGGGGGCATGTTTCATTATCAGACTTTGTAGTCGTATCCTCTGACCTTCTGCAGCACGTCTTGTACACTCAGATGAAGAGTGGGTGGAGCCGTCCACCGACCACCACCTGATGGTGAGTTGGATGAGCTGGAAGATGGGGAATCCAGACAGACTTGGCATACCCAAGCAAGTAGTAGGGTCAGCTGGAAACATCTGGCTGAGCACTCAGTTTAGTGCTTTTTGCAGAGGATGTTCTGCTGCCTCCCTCCTGATAAGACCTGATAAGACCTACAGCATGCACTGGGGCGGTTCACAGCCAAGTGTGAAGCTGCCAGAATAAAAAACAGCTCCTCCAAATTCGAGGCCATTGTTTTTGACCAGTAAAGGTGACCTGTCCCCTTCAGGTTGGAGGAGAGTTCTTGCCTCAAATAGAGGAGTTCAAGTGTCTTAGGGTCCTGTTCATAAATGAGGGGAGGTGTAATGACTCGATGCCATCAGCTGGGTTTCCCTCAATAGAAAACTTTGAACAAATCTAACTATATAACTCGATTGAATTGTCTCTGTAAAGTGCCTTAAGATGACATGTGTTTTGAATTAGAGCTATAGACATAAAGTGAATTGAAATCAAATTAATTGTTTATTTGTACTTAACCATTTATATGCTTATTATTTCCTTAATGATATTTACTTCAAATTCAAACATCAAACTCTTTTACTGACCAAATGAAGAGTCCTTTTTCATCTTTCTATAAATAGGCTTTAGGAAATGACCATTGTCCTACAGTGGCCACCTGTGGTTTGCATTGTATAGGCAACTGCAACCTAAAAATCCTGGAAACAGATTTTGTTTCATCTCTAGACATTAGCTGTATGGTCTATATAACAGGAAGAGGTAACCACAAAGCTCACTGAACCTCAAAACCATGTTTCCTTGCCTTTGTATGAAGAAACAATGCGGAAGGTATATTGGGTAAACATATGTGCCTATATGAGCAGTTGAGTTTAAGATCTGAGAGAAACCATGATCACTGGGCCGACAGCTGTTGTTTTGTAGTTTTTGTTCCACATGCAGAATCACACAGCTAACAAGTGAATTTTTATATTTTATTTACAAAAATTATTAGAATATTGAAGTGGAGAATTGGAGGAAATCAGTTGAGCTTTCTGGTTGGTGTGGGGAGAACGCAGACTGATCAGGAAAGAGTTGGTTGATGACAACTAATGCTTACTTGAGAGATGTAGGGGAGGTAGCATGGATCTGTAGCGGTTTGATTCAAGAGGTCCAGGGTTGATACTTGAAAAAAAGTCATGCTGGAGAACTGGTGGGCAGGTGAAGACTGAGAGCTGCTGCACATAGGTAAGACATTTTCCATGAAGATCAGAGACAGACGGCAGGTGTGCTGGTTCTCTGGAACAACAACAGTGTCCACATTAAAAGAGGTTCACAAGAAGACATCAAGAAGGATATTCCTGCTTTAGGTCTTTGGCTGGAATACTATCAGAGGTAATCATCTTGTGAAGACAGATGATCCTGCCCTCCTTATATTGATTGAGAGATGTTCTCAGGTGTGCATTAACATGGGTTGGACCAGCCACCATCAAAGATCCTTTCTTTGACAGGAAGCTCACTACTAAACAGCAAGACTCCAGAGACCCAGTAAGTAAGCATTTTCTTAGTTTACCATCTTTATGCAATAATGCAAACCATCCTTCGTGCTTCCCCCGAAAGGGAAAATGTTTCCGAAACATCATAACTGGGAAATGGTTTGATCCATGCTGACATTGTGTATAATAAATAAAAACTTCATCAACAATTTTCTGTATCATAAAACAGCTTTCACAGTTTCTTAGATCAGATCCATAACCTGTACTGACTTTTTGTAGGACCTTTCCCCTAATTGTATGTTGTCTAGTTGTGGTCTGTCTACACATAGTATTTTGCTTAGGGGCCAAAAATATTCACTGTTGGTCTCATCGGAATAGAGAAGCATCCTCCTCATGTTTTCGTTTGCCATAAATGGTTCGTATCATTCTAAATGAGGTGGTTAAAAAAAAAAAAAATCACTTATATCTTGCTTCTCTTTAAAGGTTCAATGTGAAATTCTTCCTAACATTATGCTGGTATTTGGTGAATTGAGAGAATTTTGGCTTAAAAAAAAAGGTTATGCTCTGGTTTCAGAGATATCTCAGCTGTTACTCTAGAAAAACTGGATTTTGCATCCTTCCAGAATTATTACCCCATTTTAATTATAGTTTACTAGTTAGGTAGTTTCTTTAGACTCCAGTGAAATATCTTTTGAAAGTATCAGAAAAAGGGAGTTGAATACATGAGTGGACAGCAAAAAATATAAATCTTAAAAAGTCAATTTTTCTTAAAATAAGTGCATTTTTTTCAAGAATTGTGGAAGTAAGTGAGACACTTTGCCAATAAAACAAGGCAATTTACATTTAAAATAAGAAAAAACTATTTAATTGTCTTATTTCAAGTGCATATTATCTATTTATCTTATTCTAAGAGTAAAACACTCATGCCATTGGCAAATTATCTTATCTTCCTGCTCGAAATAAGGGGAAATGCACTTAATATAAGCCCTTTTTACTTATTACTAGATTGTTTTTGCAGTGTGCACAACACTTTTTTCATTTTTCATTTGTAGAAGAAAACCATGTACCCTTTTCCCTAATCTGCAAAGCATGAACTATTTAGTCTTTTAGATCAGTGGTATCATCGGGACCCACTTTCCTAATGTTTTAGAAGTGTCTCTGTGGTGGCACACCTGCATCAAATGATGGCATCTTTAATCTTTGTTGATCACCTTTAAGTCAAGTGTTTGGAGACAGGGAACAGTCTAAAACATGCAAGGAATCCTGAGGACATTTTTGAAAACCACTAAGAATCCTGAAAAAAATAAAAGTTTTTGAATGTCTTGTGACGAAAAATTTTGACATGTGTGGGCAATGGAAAAACAACACGATGCAATTTATAGTAATTGCAACAGCCCAAACTGTGATCATGGCATTTATTATGTGCACTTATACTGTTCTAGATTGCTCATAAATGGGAAGGAAATGGCTGTTCTAAAAACAGCCAATGAAAAAATACACATCACACACACATGCACATCAAATCAGCCTAGATAATCATTCAGCATCAGCAATAGTGTCTTGATGTTTCCTGAACCCCCTTCTAGATACTTCTGTCCGTAATTGCTCACAATTAGTAGATCACTCCATTCATTGTTCTGTTTGGCATTTATACTCCTCATCTGCACTGACTGTTGGCTAGATTCTCCTCATTCCTTAATTCCTTCCCTAACCTATGTGTTCCCCTTTGATCTGGTTCCTATGTTCCTTAATAAGTTATTTCTGGATTTATGCTTCTGTTGCTACTACTGATTAAATCTGCAAGAAACCACCTCAGCTTCTGTCTCTGCATTTTGGTCCTCTAAAAACCTCTACACAACCTGACCAATAGAAGATAATCTTGAATAACTCTGACATGTATAATTTCCACTGACAGAAAGAAATCTTTATCTTCTACTAAAATCTACAGCATACAGTGAAATATTCAACAGCAACTAGCAAGATATTGCCAGTTTAGACAAATATAGCACATAGTTTCAGGTTTTATAAATATTGAAATATTCTTAAATGTTTTAGTGAAGTAGAAAGGCATTCTAAATAG